GGGCAGGAAAATTCTTGAAAAATTCTTGAAAAATTCACACTACCATCAACAACTGCTGATTAAATGCTACGATAACATAACCAGCAGTATTCCTCACCTAACCCCAGGCTCTCAACTTTTTAGTTCAGCAGTTTGCTCTCCTATATAACATTTCGCTGCAATTTTAGAGGGTGAAGGTACCTTTGAAACTCTATGTGCTCATTAAAGTGAATCTGAAGGTTTTAAACAACACTAGCTCCTGTTCCTCAGACCGGTGCTCAGAGTGAAGAGAAGGCACACAGCTTTTCTCTGAACAGAAGGAGGCTTCTCTGCATGTCACTTCTCAAATTATGCCACATTGCACAGATGCTCCTAGTAAAAAGTCATTGGAAAACTAAAATGTAGTTGCAACAAAAACATCAGAAATAACTCTGCAATCTCCTGGTGTAATTTCTAGCCCAAACATTAATTATAGTTGGGTTTTTAGGAGCAGACATTTTGTCTCCTGTCCCCAGTTAACTAATAAAAATTCTGTTGAGAAAATGTGAAATGAAATTGGAAGTAAAATGATCTACATTTCACCTGCAACACATTATCAGCCTGCAGCTGAAATTCCAACAAATTCAAGAAGTAACATTACAAAACTACCTGATTATTCCATGATAAACAACTCTTTCAGAACAAGTGGGGGGGATATGGTTTGTGTGTGTTTGTTTGTCATCCGTTCTCGACCTGTGTCCCCATCCGTCCCCCCCTTTTTCTTTTAAATCCTACATTGGAAACTTAGCTGCCAATTCAGGCTAATGATTATATACTGAACACCCTCAACCCATTCACACTACTTGGTGTCTTATAAAAAGCATTCTTGACCTGCTCAAAGAAAATATTTTCAAGTGAAAGACTGAGTCAGAGGTATGAATACAACTTTCAAAAACATTTTTTCAAAACTATTGAAAGTACATAAGAACATCAGCAAAAATGTTTTCACACAGAGTAGAAAGCATCACTTACCACACACTGGTCAAGTTGAAAAATGAGCATGACATTCAACACAGAAGTCAAAATACATGTTGAGAAGATACTGAACTTTAATCAAATCATAGACTTCTTTGAAGTCTACCATCTTGTCTACACTAGACTTTTCAAATGTCTTGGGATTTGTTAGCTAATGCATTCAAATTTCATGCATTTAGTTTACTCCTTAGGCTAGACAAGGCCTTAAAAGGAATCCTTTTAAATTAGCTTTGAATCATACTGTCAGAGCATCATTCAGGAGCTTATATTGTCCTTGCTTTATGGTGTGACCTGTAATTTTGATTGGGTTTCAGTCTCCACTACCAAAAGTGGTACTCATGATACAAGGTGCCTTAAAGTACACTTGGTAGCACTAGCTGTCAAGCACAATGAAGTAAAACGTAGCTTTGCAGATACACTCCTAAATAATACTCAAATTGTGGTTAAGAAAACAAAATTCATAGAATATACTTCAAACACTGCCTTTATTACAAAGGTGCATAGAGTTTATGCCATTTCTTTTGAATACTTACGTTTAAACTACAAACAACATACAAAGCTAGGTTATAGTATGTAATAAAATCAACAGTGATTATCTAGTAAATTCAGTACAACAGAATATTCTACTGTTCTAATTTCACAAAACATTTCTGAAACAAAGGCACTTACAGAATTAAAAGTAACATATACTCTTTCAACATTTAAAATTTTAATTCCCTTCCCCCTCCCCTATGGCACCGTGGATAACTAGTTAGATGTGAAGGCAATAGCTACTTGGACTGACATCTCAGCAGTGCTTAAATTTAAAGTTTATGGATCAACTTCTCCATCTTTTCTATAACCATCCCATTCTCTTATCTATATGAAAATAAGTTTCAACAGGTTGCATGGCAACAACTAAATAAAATTTGGTCCTACACCTTATTGTTAATGATGATCAATACACTAACAATAAGAAAAGATCTCATTAATTGCTCCAATTATGAACTGGACCATTTTCTTTTCTTTCAATAAGTTTTGTAACTGAAGTAGCAATACTACTACTAAAGTAGTTCCTTGTACGTTAATGATTCATCTCTTCACTTACATATAGTTATCATTAGCACGTGTTCACTGAAGGAAAGGTGTACATTTTCAGACTTCTTAACCCCATCCCTCATCTCCGCCCACCGCTCTACGTACAGTGGGGTTCAGGGCAATTATTTGGTCTGTACAACATCTACACCAAAACTTCAGATTTGGGGACCTCTATTATTGTTGCCGCTTTACTTTCCTACTATCTTCTCTTTAGGGATGATGGCAGACGATCGAGCCAATTCCTCATGAAATTGCAGATTTTCCTTTCATAACCAAAGCATAACCCTACTAAAACTGCCATGAACTGTACGCTTTGTCACATCAGATGGAGGAAAGGAAGAGCG